TTTTTTACTCGATGTTTTAAAACGATGTTTGACTTTACGTCGCTTTGCACTGCTGAGAAATAAAATGTTAAACTTTATATTTCTGCACTTTTTATTTATAAACTCCACTTTGTTAACCACTGTTGAGGAAGAGATAAAATTGCATGAAATCGAAGAATGCGCTGCACTTATATTTTTACTTTGAAAAGGTGAATTTGCTTTACGAAAGGAGAATGCGTGGTAATCGTACGTAACCGAGTAAATCGCTGAACATTCGAGATTGTATTTCGGACGGGGGCGTTCGCGTCTTTAAGGTGTTCGAGGTGCTGATCCATAACCGGGACCAATAATTTAGACGGTTTCGAGGGATCCCGGCAATAATTTAACCCGCTAGGGAGACCTGAACCAGCAGCTGCGCCACGACAGCAGGCACGGGGCGACGGAGTCGCGATAAACTCTCATAATTCACTTATGGGATATCCACGGCGTATCCGCGTCTCAGCCCTCGGTCGCTACGCAGTCACGCCGCGCGTCGTTTAAACGCGCGCTTCGAATCAAGGAACTCTCCATTGAATGCGAATGCGTGTTTCGTAACGTTTGTGTATATATATATATACATGCGCGATTATTCATAGGCGTGCGCTTTATGGATCTGCTGAAAACGGGAGCGGTGGGAGAATAGTGTGATCCACGACAAAAAATAGAAACGATTAGATGCAATAACAATTTACTGTTATAATAACGATGAAAGGAAACACATATGATATGATCGATATTTTAAACGTGAATATTATTTTTTATGCGTGCGCGTGTAAAGCGCTGGCTTTTTTTTTTACAAAAATTTTCTTTATAGAAACATGGTTCTTAGATTTTAATTGGATTTAATGGAAGGACATAAAACGTTGTAAGAAAGTGAATCATGTTATTATAATCTAATTTGTTTTAAAAATGAACAAGTAGAGACTTTTCAAATTGAAATAAACCCTTATTATTCCTATTCTAATTTAGCGCGGACATTAATGCGCAATTAATTATACATGGAAAAAAGCGATTTTGCTGAAGTGAAAGTTTAGCTAGATATGAATTTGACAATAATTTCGTTGAATTATTAATTCTTAGTATACACGTGATGATTTTTCGGTGTTCTACTTCACACGATGAGTCATTCATGTCCTAGATTTATTTTCATCACTTCATAACGGATATAAAAATTATTTTTTACATATACTTTAATATTTTCAGAAAGCATTTGTAAGGGTGTATATTTAACAATAATGTATATAAATATTACACTAATTATTTGAGAGTTCTAGTTTGTAAAAGAAAAGAAATGTGCATGAGGACTTGAATGATCTAGTCGTGTGTATTAACTACTAAGGTAATGTAAAATGCTTAAGTGTTGATGACAAGGCTGTAGACAAGTTTTAACTTTCTAGTAAACAGTTTGAATGTTTCATATAATTATTTATAATTATTTATAACTATAATCATTAATAAATATATTATCATTATCAAATGTCGTCCGCACTAAATTATTATTAATCCTACTCTAATTTTGTATTAATTTGTTTCATGAGAAAATTGCGATTTCAGTTTAAAAAGAAACGGCCAAATGTGAGATTACCTAGAAAATGTGGCGTAGATCGAATATTCTGCCAAGCTCTTCCTCGAGCCAACCCTAGCAGAAACGAACGGCGAACGTAAATTTCGGTACAACCTTCCGCGAGAAAGACGGATAATTAATTCTACATGAAGCAATGCCGCATACGGGATGCGCGTAAGCCTCGAAGACGTTGCGAGTTAAAAATTCTGCACGCAGCGTAACCCATCTGGGAATTAATGGGATAATTGTGAACGCACGATGGGGAATTCAGTCACTGTCTGGCTACACCGAAGCGCGCTCCGCGTCATTAGAATGCATGCGTCGTAAATAATAGCATCTTATAGCCGTAAGAAATTATTAGAAGGAAATTTCTTTATGACTATATTCGTCTATATTTTTTCTAAATCTTAAAAGTATGATAATTTAATAACTTTATATTTTCTTTCTGTTTTTTTCACATTTTACAAAAACTTAATTACCACTGAACAAACATTTTCTCTATGCTAAAATATATAAACTGTATTTAAACTTTCATTCTTATATTGAAAATATTTGATCGTAAACGAAATGTTTACATATTTTCTATTCATTTAATTAAATACGACTAAAAGTAATCTGTAAATGCAGTCTTTATACGTGTATAGATATCAATAAATAATTTCATCTGCTCGTTGTTAGTGGCGATTTAAGTACCCGTTTGTAGAAAATTAATGGTCCACATTTTTCTTAAAACACGAGAATGTATTCTTTTGGGCTGGATATCATTACGTTAATCCAATCAAGACGTCGATAGACAGTTGCGGCTGCAACGTTATAATGATCCTTTGCAGCCGGGGAGATACGTATCGTATCGACCTCTCCTCTTCATTCCAAGCTGTTTCTACATCGTGCAACGTGCAATCTGGCGGCCGGTGATGGCCAGTGACGGTGGCAATGGTGTGGCGTTTGCACAATAGATTCGGTTTGATACATCGCCGTACGGCACAGGAGACCGTTAATTTCGTGGCCTCCTGCCCCACAATGCCCTATACACACCCGCATCACCCATTCTGCGTTTAGACTGCTATCAACTGCTATTCTCCATCAAATGTCGTTCATATTAATAACTCAGCCAACCTAATAATAGTATTTAACGTGCAGTCCGTCATTACCCAGATTTTAGTGCTGTTGATCGATTCTAAACACAATAACTTGTATTTTAATTTATGTCACTACTGAGCGATTTCTTCGCCAGTGAGAAACAAATGAATCAACTGTTCAACATTAAGTTCTTATAATAAAAATTAAGATAAACCGCTGTCGTAAGTTAAATCAACGTATGCAACTAACACATTGGTGTATTGGTTAATGATATATATACATCGTTGATTGTCATACAACCAATAAAAAATCGTTACTTCATTGTCTTAGTTTTTATTATTATAGCTAGTTTTATGATTATGAAAAAAAAGAATTGGATGTTTTCACTGTATAATATTGGCTAAAAATATTAATCAAAGAATCAGTTAGAAAACCAGTATCAGCCAATAAATTTTAAAACAAACTACAAAAAGCAAAGCAAACAAATAATTGGGTTTATAAAGGTTTTATGTAGGGATTTTACATAAGAATCAAGACTAACAGAATAATTAAATAACTTTTAAACCGATAAGAGAATTGAGTTTAAATTTTGCACAAATATTCAGATGTAATAATAGAACAATCTATGAAACTTTTATTTTTTTGGTAATATACTTTGAAATGTGACATACACCTTTAAGATATAAAATTTATAAGGGATTTTATTATGCATTCAAATATTGTATATACTTGATAGAACAATTTACAACAATTTTATGCATACAATTATATTCTTGACAAAAGTGTAATTTTTATTTTCGCAAATGTTTCAAGCATTTTAACAAATTATTTTGCATTTTTTATTGCATACATTTGGTACATAATGGACAATTTTAATTTTACAGGTACATTTGTCGAGCTTTTACAAAATTAAAATAGAAAGTATTATACGTAGTATATAGAAAGTCACACTTCCGTGAGAAAAGTGACAAGTAAAAAATATAAAATTATCAGAAGAAAAGAAAGAAAATTACATTTTTAAATTATTCAGCAGCATTAAATATAAGTTAATTAGGGCTAATCATAAATTACTCGTTTCAAGCTATTATAATATAGAAGTAATATTTCTTTTGTTCAAATCTTTTTTTATGTTGATTCACACGAACATTTTCGTCTCTGTCGATAACTGCGCAATTATTTACGCTTGTACACAGACAGAATGGCTAATTTTGGCGTATTTTGAAAAAGCTATAAACAAAGTAACGTCTTCTCTCTCGTATCCGTTATTAATTTATTATATTATTTATTAATTAGTAAAATATATTATAAGTTTCTCGAACGTTCGACTTCATTTAGGACCATCTTTGGCAAAATAACATGAAGGAAAAGACAAGTTTCACGTTTAATAATAACGATGATCAATAGTCAGCTGTATAGTACAATCTTACAGTAGAAAATTCAAGATGTGAAAACTTTGGTCAAGTTGACTTGGCGTCCTATTTATTACCATTACTACTGCAAATGCGTTGCATCGATAAAAGAATATGTTGCACGCGTTACGATGATATAAAATTCAGGCACGTTTTGATGTACTTTAAGCAAATCGGAGACCTCGTTTCAGTAGTACACGAACGTTCTCTTCTCGGGAAGAAACACGTGCTTCGACTTTGAAGTTATTCTACACATGCCAAGAATTTCATGCGTGCACAAGTGACCTGACATCGTTCACCAAAATGTTCTTACAAACTACATGCCAACTACGATTATAATCATGGACCGCCTATTTTCTAAAGTGATGGCCACATAAAATCGACAAATTGTGGTACTGTGGTAGTCTCCTAAATTAGTACTATGTACTTTTATTGATATTGATTTTATATTTGTAATATAAAAATATGATTGTATTAGATAATACAATATTTAAAAAAAATGAAATAAACATAACAGATGTATAATATAACAAATATATAAGGCAATTAAGGATAACGGCGCAATAAGTAAAGATGTGATTTATTTTATCCTTTGTAATTTAGACAAAAAACCGAATGTTCGGCTCTACTTATTAAAAAAAAAAATTATTATTATACCTTTCAATTCTTACGTTTATCGATTTGACGTGCTATAATTTCTTAAGGGCACACCACGTGTCTAGTCAAGGCTACATATTCATCTTTGTGTTCGATCTTCGGGTTCTGCCTACTCGAATCATCGAAAATATCTTTCGCCTCTTTCGAACAGTTCGAACGAAGCCCAATTATCGTGCAACACAGTAATAATCGGCGCTCGCTTTCTACGAGGTGTTCACGAATCCAGACTTGATCGATGCTCATGTTAATCCTGCCTTCAATTTCTGTCTCAGGAACAATGCCAACGTTGTCGTCCCGCCCACTGTACCGGCCGTGTTGAAGAAAGAGCCGCAAGAGAATATTGCCCGGATAGCGAAACGGTACCTCGACGATAACATGCAGCAGGCGTGGATCAATCCTCGTCTAATATCGATGGTGAGTGAATATAAATGCAACGATTATGCGCCGGACCCGCGCACGTGCGCGCCCATCCGTGCCCATTATACTTCTTGGTCCGCGCGAGCTCGTATAATACGTACACTTGGGGGATACGGGCGCGTACTTTCCGAGCCGGGCAACAAATTAGTTTGCGGCGGACTTCCACATTGCGAAAGTTTCGTGATTAATTTATTGGGCGGGAATGCGCGTACACAGTACACATCCACGCCGCCGCGCTGCACGGAAGTCGAAACGCGGCGGAGTTTCTAACTTGCCCGGACTATTTCTGCGATTTCCGGCCAGAGAGCTCGAGGTTGCGCGCGATGTACAGTGCGGGATCTTTCGGAACGTCAGCGATAGCACTGGGATTTTCACGGCACTACTGTTCGCCGAAGGAAAATGTCTTTACGATATCGCATAACCCCGTCAGCCGAATTTAGAATATGGCTGCGGCAAGCTGGCGACAAATTTTTACGACGCTTTGAAACGGCTTACAATAGATTCCGACGTCGAACGACTTCTCGATTTTGTGACAAATACCATTCGGAAGTCGACACGTTTCTTTTACGATTGAATTCGAAATGTTAACGAACGAATGAACGAAATCCGGTGAACGACGATTTTAATTTTGATTCTTAATTTTTAACGCAAAATGATTATATTGGAGTAGTTTAACTCTCCAAAGCTGATTTATAATTAAGTCTATTGGACCCACTCAACTCTAAATCCTTTTGCCAAAAATGTGAAACAATTCAATTTTTTTTATTTTGCAAATTTGGATTATTCTTGAAATGAACCTATTGTTAGTATTTATTCTTTTTTGTGTACAGCCATGTCATTTTAGTTTTTTGAAATTAATTAATATTTTTTACATAAATTAAAACTTTACCGAAGTCTTGCAGATTCAGTATCGGTAAATATGTTACAAATTTTGGCGTCAGCTCTGAACGGTTAAGATTTAGATTTTTCAAACTTGAAACGAGACGAGTTTTTATATGTTCAACAAAAAAAAACCTTACGCTAGTAAGCAAGCGTATATTAGTTTTAAAGTATTTATTTTTTATAGAAAAGAGAACGTCTTAATCAACCATCCAGAGCTCGCTCTGTTGAATATCAAACGGATCTTATGCTCCATTAAGATGTATATGTAGTGAATATTGCTGACGTTTTGAATATTGCGGAAATAAATCATACGCGCGCGCAGCGCCAGGTCAAGTGTCTCATTAGAGTTGCAACCGAGTCATTCAAATGTTTCGTGCATCTTTAAAGTTCCAAGGCTGACTCGTAGTCAACTTGGCATATCTCATTTGCATACGACCTAGATATTTTCGCGAAATATAAATATAATGCGAATGAATTGCAAAGTAAAACTCGAGTGATCTAATTATCATTAAAGTGCTCTCTTTTGCAAGTTAAATTTTACATTGCTTTTCGATGCTTTGATATTTCATTGAAAACATAGCAAATTAATTAAAAAAAATCTTGCATAAGAGAGAGAGAGAGAAAGTCTTTTTATTTCCAATACATCACATGCTTCTTGTTTGCTTTTTCATTATACGTTTTTAATGTGTACAAATTTATGTAAAGTCTTTAATTAAGAAATATGAAAGTGTAAAAAAGAAATGACGTAAATTTACTCATTCCATATAATTCACAAAAGATTTTATAATTTGATAAAAAAATTATTACACACACACACACACACACATCATTTTTATAAATAAATCAATACAGATATGCTACATCGTGAAAATTAATTAACAGAAATTGAATAGAATTAATTTTTTGACAATTGTAAAAAAATACATTGCATAAAAAAGATTTTTAAAATTTTTTTACGTTGTTGATGAGATTAAAAAAGAAGTTGTAGATAATCCATTTGTCTATCTTTACGTATATTTTTTACTTCCATATATATAAATTCTACATTATACCGGCACTCCATACACGATGACCGGTTATGTCGTTGGCGCGCATCGGACAGGCAGAACGAGCGGACGGGTCATTAAGCGAGCCAATAACAAACTCGTGATCCACATAACCCTTCGTTACGTCCGCGGGTGCTATTAGCCTGTGCAAGGCAGCAATCATTGCCGGCGGGTAGGACTCGTTTTATAACACGTCGAGGCAGGTCCCAATCGCGTCGTGCGAACTCATTATTTTCATTTCTTTCCCTTCCTTCGTCCATCCTCCTTTCGCTCCTCACCGTTCGTTCGCAATGCAGACCTCTCCGAGGTTTCTTTTTGCTTCATCGCAGACCTTATGTAATGTCTCAGTTGCGTGCTTCCCCGCGTGCTTGCAGCTTGTTGCGCCGATCATTCGACCGTGCGCACACCTGTGCGCGATAGCACGCGACGAGCCCTTTCGTCTTTCGAAGCAGCGTGAGGTGCAATGCGAATTATCGCGCCGAAACGAATCGAGAATTTTGCAAGTCAGATTTCATAATCAGATGCAAACGTTGAACTCGGATTTTCAAAGTCTGTGAAACGTCGTCCGTATTGAATGTGTCAAATGTTGATGTTACGCCTAAAAAAAAATGAATGAAGCTTCTGAACAAATTTTTTTTTTCATATTTTTCAACGAAAATAAATATACGAAAATAAATATAGAATAATTTTGCTGAAAATTTAGAGCATAAGCAGCTCGAATGCCTAACATAATTATTTCGATGATTCAACAAAATCATTTTTAGATCTATAAATACCTCGGCAAAATCCTCCTTTTTATACATTGAATGCATATATTGAATAAATTAAATTGAATAAATTCACTTGTAGGCACAATATTTTTTGAAATATTTCATAAATTCCTGCTAATATCAAAATATGCATAAAGATAAATGTATCATGCATCTACTTATGATAAAATATATGATCGAGCATTAGAAGTGGTTCACGTGGTACTTCAGTCAGTGATAATAGAAAGATCTGTTTCTATAATTAAAAGCACCGATGAGAGATTCTTTCGTTTCCTCCCCGCATGCCTTTTACTCCGACATCAATATTGGCGCGTGCATTCATCGGCATCGCGAAGATTTACGATCGTTCCGTATTACTTATGCCCGGCGGGTTTATTAGCATGATTGGTTGCTTCGAGGATAGATCGCGTTGCGCACGCAACCGGATCTCGATCCTTCGTTTAGGAGGAGCCCGATATCTCGATCTTCTTGCCGGTACGACCGGTGGCTCGCCACGAGCTCGAAAGAAGTCATTCCTTCGACGCCACGTAGTTACCGGGGCTTCGCCAGGAGCCAACGACATTATTTGTAATTTGTTACGTGGATCGCCTCGTTACGACCGGCTCTAAATCCTTACGATCTTCCCGTCACTACCCACGGCGACGGGGACCTACTCTCTCGCTAAGTACTCGAGCCTTTGAGCGTAATCCAAACCTCGGCTTTAATGAATTTTCTGATTTAATAAGAAGTCCGCGTGAACTGCGACTGGGGACGGGAGAAAAATTGTTCGCAAATCATACACGTAAATTATTCGAGATACACTCGTTACCGTGTTTTATGCGTAATCATCTCGATAATGGTCTCATTAAGTATTTGCATCAAAATTTTTAGCGCGCAGTTCAGTATTTACTGAATCATAAAGAAACGTTGTTAAACCAGTACTTTAATATACGAATTTACTGTCAATAATATAAATATTTACAGAATTGTAGCGTTGTATTTTAAATTAATCCTGAATATATACATTGATCGGTCCTTTATTATACACGTTTGTGTCCCAGATTAATTTTTATCATTTTTACAAATATAAAAATTATTTAGTAATTCTTGTACATACTTTAATATCTTTAGAAAGTATTAATAAAGTTATATGTTAAAAAAAGGAGGAGTTAGAGCTCACTGTTTAGCCAGATATTCTAGTATTTCAAAGAAAAAAATGTGTAGGACACAAATAACTCAACCGCGGGTGTATCAAGTTAAAACTTAATATATTTATGATATTAAAAGCAAACTTTTCGAAAAATACTTTTATTTGATAGAAAAAATGGACTGTTTTCTCCAAAATTGAACTTAAAATACTAAATATAAATACGCAACACAGTTCTTGATGACTATGTGTGTGTATATAAATTCGTGATCATGAGATATGAGAGTTAATTAATGAATGATTGCGAGAGACTCATTTCTCGGCCCACAGCCGTTTAATATGCCGAAAATTCTAACAATCAGGAATGTCTACGTATTTGCATACGGATGTATAGTAGGTATCTACAGGATAGCGGCTCAGCATCTCTCCCGACCATTTCTCCCGAAGTGCCTCTCCTGCATTCGCCTTCTGTAATAACAATAATAATAAGAAGAGACGGAGGGCCGTTTTAATCAGAGGGTTCGTCCGCCTGACGTGATTAACTTGAAGGGTCGAGGAGGAATGAGGAAAGGGGTAAGGAAAAGGGCGGATGCCACTGTCATTTTGGGTGTTTATCATATCAGCGAACTTAAGGGGGTTGCGTTTCGTCGCCCCGACCGGCGCGCCGGATAGGGTTAAATCTTGAATTTCACGTGTGACTTGCATTTTCGTTCGCTATTTGCTTCTGCGCTTTTTCTCTGGCCAGCTCTTTTACTTTATTTCTTTTGTGTGTGTGTTTAATTTGTTTCAATAGTTCGTGAGCATAGAAATGTTTTCTTTTTATCTTCATTTTGGATTCTTTTTTTTATTTCATACGAGAATAATGCAAGTGTTATGTAATATTAATTAATCGAACTTTTTGACAAATAGAAATAGCTAAGGGAGGGAAAGACTTTTCACGGTTAAAAGACTTTTTCACGTTAATATTTAAAAATTCAGTCCTTGAAAAAAATAAAACAACTCGAGAGTACAAAACTCACGCTTTTCTAGAAACTAAGCTACACATATACATATACAATTACGTACTTTTATTCTGTAATAAATACCTTCTGTTTTTAAAGAGGATGTAATTTTACTATAGCAAGGAGAAAAGACGGAAATATTAGTAGCGCGACAGTGCTACTCTTTCTTTAG